GCCGTTCTGGTGCCGCCGAGTCTGGCTCTGCCAGGGGCTGCGGCCAACAAAATTCCAACCTCCACAAAGACCCCGGGACAAAACTTTGGCACCTGTTTGTACATCCTGAGCCACGAAGAGACAAATTTGGTTCTAAATTAAATAAAAATCTCTTTCATTAATTAGCATCGGTCGCCTGCTGGTTATTGAATTCTTCCTTGGGCAGGGACACCTCCCCCTGTCCCAGGCTCCAGCCTGGCCTTGGCCACTGCCAGGGATCCAGGGGCAGCCACAGCTGCTCTGGCAATTCCAGCCCAGCCAGCAATTCCCAATTCCCAATTCCCAACATCCAGCCCTGTCCTCTGGCACTGGGAGCCATTCCCTGGCTCCTGGCCCTGCAGCCCTGTCCCAGTCCCTCTGCAGCTCTCCTGGAGCCCCTTCAGGCCCTGCAGGGGCTCTGAGCTCTCCCTGGACCCTTCTCCTCTCCAGGGGAACATTCCCAGCTCTCCTGGAGCCCCTTCAGGCCCTGGAACGTTCTGGAAGCTCTCCCTGGACCCTTCTCCTCTCCAGGGGAACATTCCCAGCTCTCACCCCCAGCCCCACCAGGTCCCTGTCCCGGGGCTGCTCCAGGCTCGTGCCCAGCCCGGTGCCCGGAGGTTCTGCCCGGTCTCAGCCCGTGCTGGTGCTCTGGGCAGCAGCCTCACAACGTTCCACATCTCTGTGACACCGAGCTGTCCCTGTGTCCCTGGAACCGGCCCCTGTGTGACATCAGCCCGGCCCGGGGCCACCAGAGGTGACAGCTCCGCTCCGCCTCTGCCACCTGCGCTGGCACCGATGGCTCTGCTGGCCCTGCTCGTCCTGCTGGCCCTGGCCCGGCCCGTGGGGGGCACGTGGGACACCTGCAGGTCGGTGGCCCCGGGGGCTCGGGGACACTCGGGGCTGTCCTGGCACGGATGAGCCCCTCGGGGGTCCCTGTCCCCGCTGTCCCCGCTGTCCCCGAGCAGGGCACCGATGGCTTTGTGCTTCCAGAGGGACCTGCGGGCTCCGGCCCTTGGCTTCCGACCACAGCTCTGCTGCTGGCACCTCCCGGTTCGTGGGTGGCACCGGGGTCCCCCCGGGGTCCTGGCCCGGCATCGCCAGCGTCCAGGCCACCTGGGCGAACGGCACGTGGCACATGTGCACCGGTGTCCTCCTCAGCTCCCAGTGGGTCCTCACGGTCGCACACTGCTTCGCCAGGGGCGGGTAAGAAACAGCAGGGACAGAGGTGTCCCCAGAGCACAGACAGGTGCCCAGGTGACAGCACCACGTGCCACTTTCATCCCGCCTCTTTCCTCTCTGCTTCCCTGTCCGCCTTGGGAAGCAGAAGGCAGGGAAATGCTGGGCCACTGCCAGCCCGTGGCTCCGCTCGCTGTCACCCCTGTCTCCATCCGCTCTCTAGGGACATCTCCACGTGGGAGGTGGTGTTGGGGGCCACAGACCTGAGCCAGCCGGGCCCCGAGGCTGCGGTGAGACACATCCAGAGGCTCCTGGTACACCGGCACTACGTGCCTGCCACGGCGAGGAATGACATCGCCCTGCTGGAGCTGGAGCAGCCCGTGGAGTGCAGCGACTACATCCAGCTGGGCTGCGTGCCCGACGCCTCGCTCAGGGTCTCGGAGCTGAAATCCTGCTACATCGCCGGCTGGAACTTTGCCAGAGGTGAGTTCCCATGCAGGATGTGCGCCCTGAGGGAGAGCTGGGCATGCCAGGGACACAGGCTGGGCACCCTGGGGACATGGAGTGGCCACAGACAGAGTCCAGCTGCGGGATGGCAGCAGGGCCGGGGCTCGGAGCAGCCCGGGCTGGGGGAAGGGGTCCATGCCTGGGGGGGCGGGGGGGTGCGGCATGGTCATG